AGGGGAGCTGGTGAACCATGATCTCGGTTTGATTGGTCGACACTCAACCATTGAGCCACATGGCTAGGCAAGGCAAGGCACTTCTTAAAAATCCACACTCCCAGACCCCTGGCCCAGAATCACTGGGGGGTGGGCAGGAGGTTAGGTGGGCCCCACCTGGGGAGGTGGGACCCGAGTGGTTAGCGCCTCCTCCTCCTCTCTTGGGAAGTCCTGGTCCTACTTGTCTGTCAAGTCCGCTGTGACAGGGTCCAAGCCCACTCGCTCACTCCCTGAACCACAGACCCCCAACCCCAGCAGAGCCTGGCCTTGGCCTGAGCTCTGTTCACCTTCTGCCTCCTGGAGGTGGCACGTCTCCTGTCCTGGGCCCCCTCTGGGCGTGGCGCTTCAGCCGCCCTGCCCACAAGAGGCGCTGCCCTAGGAGTCCCCTCTGTCCTCGGCCCAAGCTGTGGGTCTGTGCCAGGAAAGGCCCCAAGGGACAGTTCACAGATGCCTGTGACCAGCACCACGGGCCCTTCTGATTTCTGTAATCCAGGTGGTGGTTCTGCCCATCTCATTCTGTCCTTATTTCAGCAAATACAGTGGGGCCTTGACTTACGAGTGTCCCGACTAACAAGTTTTTCGAGATACGAGCTGCCTCTCGGTCGATTTTTTGCTTTGAGTTGCGAGCTAAAATTCGGGTTAGGAGCCAGCTGCAGACACCCCACCGCTAGTTGGCGCAGCGAACGTCACAGTGAATGGCACAACATCAGCCCAGAATCACATATCTGACTCGTTCGCTTTAATGATTTGATATATGAGTAATTTGAGTTATGAGCTCTGTCACGGAACGAATTAAACTCGTAAGTCAAGGCCCCACTGTAGTGGCCAAGCACCTTTTGGGAAAGGGCAGTCAGCGGGGCCTGTCCCAGCACAGCAGGCTGGCCTGACCCTCCCGGGGGCGCCTGCTCCTGAGCCGTGAGCCAGCCTGGGGCGCGGTACCCGGCCCTCACAGACAGCCCTGCCTCCCCCGCTGCTGGCCAAGACCAGGGACAGGCGGAAAAGCCATTCAGCCTCTGGACTCCACACAGATGCTAACGGGTTCCCCACACGCGGGCCCTGGAGGCTGCAGCTGGCTCTGTCACAGGCCCTGTCAGAGCGGCAATAACGATGATAACTGTCTCCCTTCAGAGGCCGGAAGGGCCGGTCCCGGCTCCAGGGTGTGAGGCTAGTGTTTGGGACAGTCCCCGCGGCCACATTATGGCACCCGGGCAAGGCTGGGGGACAGCTCCCTGCCTGCCTGCCGAAGGCCGGCCACTTCCTCTGCGTGGGAGGGTGGCGGCTTCCAAGATGACTTTTGGGATAAAACCACCTACAAGTGCTTCCAGCTCCCCCGTCTGCCCCCCTCTTCTGGCTGTTGGGAAGGTGAGCTTCAAAACTGCAGCTTCTCCACCGAAATATGTAACTGCTCAGCGCAGCAGCGCTGCTGGGACTCATTACAAAACCATTCATTTGACTTCATGTCAACACCCACACTCCCACCCGTCCTGGCCCATCTGTCTTACCTGCATCACCCCCTGCCCCTTCCCCGTCCGAGCACATCCAACCCTTCTCCACGGGAAACTCCAGTGGCCAGAGCAGGCCCCCAACAGCCCAGTGACAGCCCTGAGGCAGGACTCGAGGTGCCGGGCACACGCTGGGTTGACGGTGCCAGCCCTGCTCTGCTGCGCTGTCCGTAGTGTGGGCCCGAGCTGCCTGGCCAGTTGGGGTCACGGACCTGAGGCTGGTCAGAGGAGCCTGGTTCCTTGGGGAGAGCCAGTGTCGTGGCCCCGGGGCACTTGGCTGACACCGTGACCCAGAACGGCAGGCAGCACGAGCAGCACCCGCGGCGATCCGGTCCGGGCTACGCTAGGCTGCTCGGCACCGCAGGGTCCCAAGAAGGGTGCACTGCGGCTGTCTGGCCTCGGCAGCTTTGTCCCAGGAGGGCCACAGGCAAACAGGGGTCAGGGAGGGGGTCAGGCTACCCTCCCACCAACCACAGGCTGGGCTCCCGCTGCCACAGGCCCTGTACCTGTGTTCATGGTGCCTGCTGGGGTGGTGACCACCTGGGCCAGGCCACATGCCCCTGAAGGTCAGCACTGTCTGGCCTCCGCCATCAGCTGCCTTTGGGCATCCTCAGGAAACCAGGCCAGGCCTGACCGGGGCCCTGACTTCCAGGCCGGCTCCTGGCAGGACCCAGAGGAAGACATTCCAATTGGCCAGCCAGACTTGGGTGCAGTGTCTGCCAGGAGGACACTGAGGTCTGCGAGTGGGCATAGTGACGCCAGGAAGAGCAGGCAGGTGCTGGCAGGGAGGCAGGCACGGTGGGCGAGAGGCCGGGGCGAGGCAGCATCTCCTAACCTCCTTTGGGTGCCGTGACCCGGGGAGAGAGGCCCCGCCCAGGCTGCTGTGCAGAGGGAAGAAGACATGCTCTGGGCAGCGCCCGGCCTGGGGGAAGCGGCCCAAGTGCGACCCCCACCAGGCCGCTCCTGCAGGGCAGAGCGAGAGGGTCCCTGGGAGGCAGGTCCCACAAGTCCTGCTGGGTGGATACTCGGGCCAGGCTATTCCCTCCCCCGTTTTCAACAACATCTATGGAGGCCTTAGCATGTGACACGAGAGGGCGGCCACAGGAAAGAGACCAATGTGAGGGGACAAAGACGCCCCCAACCCAAAAAGCAAACCCAGCACAGGGGCCAAGGGAACTATGGCGTGCAGGTGGGTGAAGTCACAGGATTTCCCAGATTTGAAAGGTGGGGGTGGCCACTGGCCTGGGCCAGGGCAGCAGGGGTGGCCGGTAGGACAGGAGGGACAGCACAGAGAGGGCGGCACAGGGCTCCCTCCCGCCCCCCGCCCCTTCAGGCAGCACCTTGTGTCGATTACTTTGGTTTAGGCTGCTAAGTACTTCAGGGACTTCAGGGTGCACTTGTACTGGGGGATGAACCAGTCGGGGAGGGTCAGTTGATGAGGGACTGGTGGAGGGGTTGGGACCTGGGGCAGGTATGGGGGCGGGTGAGGCCTGGGACAGGGCTCAGTGTCCTTGACAGCTGTTCTGAGATCCCCCAGAGCCAGGGGCTCCCTGAGAAGGAAGCAAGGCGATGAGGATGAGGATGAATTTGGGCCAAGGACAGGGGTTGCCTGCATGAGGCACAGATGGAGGGGGCCTCAGGGGACACCATCCTGGGACAGGGGCTGGTTAGGCGCCTGGGCGGGTGGGGGTGGGAGGTTGAATTCAGGGCCAGAGGAGGTTCCCAGGACCCTGACCATCCCTCAGCCACCAGCCCAGCGCCTGCTGGCTTTCAAAGGAATGCTTCTGATGTTCTCATGACCTGGGCTTTCCCAGTTCCGTGAGATTAAGATAGAGAGCTGCGGTTTGCAGTAAGCTGTCCAGTTACAGGACGGACATTCCATCCTGCATTTTGATGGGCCGATTCTCACAGGCCTCCAGGGGCTGGGATGAACCGCTGCTCTGGGAAATCTCTCCCAGACCTGGACCGTCCCTCCGGGACCCGCCGGGGGATGGGCGGTGACGGTGCAGGCATCAATGCTGGGCCCACACTTCCCAGGGGCCCGGGGCCCAGCTGTCTGCCTCCGGAAACTTCTTGCCTCAGAAAACATGCTCCTTGACCAGTGCACACTGGGCTGGGGTCAGGGCTAGAAGGGCCTGATTATTTCACCAATTTTTTTGTATCTGTGAAACCAGTGATTTCTGATGCCCACCTAATTCTAGCATCTCTGCCACCCGTCGTCTATGGCAGCACCATACGTATGACTCCAGGGCTCCCTGGTGCCTCCGGCTCTGTGCCAACGCGTCCTTCTAGAAGTGTGTTCTGCCAACTTACGTGGCTGCCCCCATGAGCAGTGAGTGCCCACATGTGGAAAGCAGAAAGAGAGGCGAAGAAAGAGAGAGAGAGAGAGAGAGAGAGAGAGAGAGAGAGAGAGAGGTGAGGGGAAAGGAGGAAGGGGTGAGGTGAGGAGAAGATGATATAATAATAGGGACACTGAGAGCCAGGGAGCGTCAGAGGGCCCTGGTTCACTTGTCTCCCCTCTGAACTCCAGCCCATTCTGCTCTTAGCTCGAGCTCCTGGGAGTTCAGTTCTGTCCTTGTGGCCCAAGGGTCCCCACCAACATAGGGGGTGCCCACCTCCAAGGGGCCACGGAGGCCTGAAGAGCCACCGCACGTGGGCAGCAGCCCTTGGTCCCTGGGCAGGCCTTCAGCCCATGTTGGCTTTCATCATTGTGCTTCAGTATTCGACGTTTGACACGGATTCCATTTGACTGTGAAATCGCTCACCATCCCACGTCCTCAGTGATGCTCTGGGCTCTGGTTCTGAGCCCCTTTGGAGATACTGGCCCAGATGTGACTCCCTGGTCTGAAGGTTCGCATGCAGAGCCCGGCCCGCCTTCTCCGGCTACGACTCTGCTCCGGCGGCTTTGCCAGGAGGGTGTTCTCTCTCCACAGCCTGCAAACCTGCGTCAGCCCTGCACGCTGGCCACAGCTGAGCCCACGCTCACACGCTCTCTCACCCTCGGAGACATTGTCTGCAGCAGGGCTCGCAGCACGTTAATGTCACCCCTTAGCTAGGTGTCTCTCAGATTCTGAACTGGGGTTGGCCGATGCCACACGGCCATTCGTCTCTCCTGATATGACTCTTTCTCAGCACATATCCCAGTGGTGGGATCACACAAACACACACACACACACACACACACACACACACACACTGATGAGGACATGCGGTTTATAACAGGGACATAATTACCCTAAATAAAGGCACTGACAAACAGAATCCAATGCATTGGGGGCAAGCAAAGCTCAGCTCAGGAATGCAAGGATGAATCAACAATATAAAATCTGTGGGTACAGTTCGCTACATTAAGAGATTAAAGACTGAGAAAAAAAAAGAGATTAAAGAGAGGAAAATCCCTGATCATCTCGGAAGACAGTCAGCCCCCCCCCAAAAGCACCTGTAACATATAATACTGACTACTGAGTTTGACGCACACCCACCAGACCTTCAGGAAGCTCAGAATGGCAGGAAAATTCCTTAGCCTCCAACGAGCATTGCACTTCATACATTAGAAGAGGGGTCAGCGAACTTCTGCAAAGGGTCAGATAGCAAATATTTTAGTTTTTCCGGCCATATGGTCTCTGTCCCCAACTACTTAACACTGATGCCACAGTATGAAAGCAGCCAATCAGAAAACATGTAAACGAACAGGCCTGGCTGCCTGCCAATAAAACTTTATTTACAAAGAGAGACCACTGTGGGCAGGGTTTGGCTCCCAGCCATGGTTTGCTGACCCTGCATTAGAGCCATTCACAGTATAGTCAGAAACAAGAGAATGATGCCTGATTTTATATTTGAATCCTAGCGCATGTAATAATACAAGGAAATATATGTGAAGTACAAATACTGTAAAGGCAGAGGTAAAAATATAATTATTTGCATAATTATATGACTATTTGTCTAGGAAATCTAAAATAATCAACTGGCACACCATTCAAATTAAAAGTGGCCGATTCTAGGGTCAACACACAAATATAATAGCACTTATTAAAGCAGCAATATTTTATATAATAAAAAGCCTAATATGCTAAGTGTCTGGCCGACCGGTTGGCCGTTCATCCAATCAAAGCGTGATATGCTAATGATATAGTAAGGCTGCTCAACGGCTTGCTATCACGTGCACTGACCACCAGGGAACAGACAGTTGACCAGTAGGTTAGCTTGCTGCTGGGGTCTGGCAGATTGGGACTGAATGAGACAGGCTGGACATGCCCTGGAACTTTTTTGTGGTCCCTCCCCAGCTGGCCAACCTCCCACGTCCCTCCCCAACCCCGATTGTGCACCGGTAGGGTCCCTTGGCCTGGCCTGCACCTTCTCACAATCTGGGACCCCTCAGGGGATGTCAGAGAGCCAGTTTCAGCCCGATCCTCCTGGCCAGGCTGAGGAACCCCACTGGTGCACGAATTTGTGCACTGGGCCTCTAGTATAATGTTTCATAAGCAAAAGTGCCTCATTCATGACAGCAGTAAAACCCAGAAATAAATGAAGAAATAAATGACTGTGACATAACAGAAAACTAGAAAACTTTGCTGAAGTTTAAATAAGTCCACATACAGAACCACCTGGGAGCCAGACCAGATCACATCGACGTTAGCTTCCCAAGTGTGCCCACATACTCGGTGCAAATCTGATAAAATTCCCAACAGGACTGGCTACAAGCAATGGATTCTAAACTTTATATGGAGAAGAAAGTGTGCAAGCTCAGCTGAGAAATGCTTTTAAAAGGACGTGGAGAAGGGATTTGCCGTAAAGCCATCATAACCAAGCACCACTGGTGCGCAGAAATTGACAAAGAGGTGTGAGGGTCAGGACTGGAACACCAGAGATGGCACCATATATTTGAGGGAATTTAATTAATGATGAAAGTAGCAACTCCTATCAGTGGAGAAAGGATACCCTTTTCAATAAATGATGATGTGACAACTGGCTGTGCACTTGAAAAATAACACATTCCACCCACCAACACACACTCTCCCTTCCACGCAGCGGCAGCTTCTCCCCCAGCCCCAGAGTCAGGCTGGCTGCTCCCCACTCACAGGCGAGGACAGAGTCCCCAGCCATGCCTGCTGGGGGAGTTGCAACTCAGCTACAATGTATTTGGCTGTGGAGAATCTGGATAAAGGACCCTCCACCCCTTTCTGGGTCCTCATGGGCTGGATCTAAACGTCCCCCCTCTCCGCCCCCCGGAGGTCCATCCTCTGCAGTTTTGGAGACTCCTCTGGAAGAATTTGCATTCCTGGCCAGATACAGACCCCAGAGCAAAGAGGGCAGGGGTCATGTGGAGCCATTACCCACTTGAGGTCTCCTTTTGAATCAGCCCAGGTCCCTGAACATCATTCCACGAAGGGACATCCCCCCGCCCCAACCCTATCTGTTTGTGGTTCTGTTGATGCTATCATCTGAGAGGGCTGAGCTGAGTCCTTGAAACCGGCTCTCCAAACATAAACGAACAGCCCGTTTAATGAAACACAGTGCGCACCCTTTGACATTTTCGTGTTGACCTCAGATTCTCAGCCCATCCTCCTCTCCTCCCTTCCCCACCCCAACCCCCATCCCCACCTCAAGCGTTGTGACCGCTCATCAGGTCTCCCTAAGGATGGATGCCCTTTCCCTCTCCTCCTCTGCTGCCCCGCCCTCAACTCCCCAGAGTCACCTCCAGGTCGACTGGAAGGTGTTGGTGAATGTGGCTGCAACCTAGGGACAGCTGAGCAGCAGGAGCAATGGGCTCCCCTGGGAACAAGGTCTGCTCCCCTCTCTGAAGAGGACCCCCCCAACACACACCCCCCAGCTCTGCAGGTGTTTGTCCTACCCTCCTTTCCTGTACTCTGCTTCAGACTCAGCCATCCCTACTGTGGAACCCCAGCTTCCAGAAGAATCTCTGTGTCTCTTCAGAGACTCCTGGGCTCAGTTTTTCCCATGTCTCTCCCACCCCAAGGTTGGGGTCCGGGTGCCCTGGAACTTCTGAGTCTGGTGGGGATAGATGAGACCCCAGAGCCCATCACCGGCTTTAACAGGGATGACCCCACAACTCACAGACCGCAGCTGCCTGGACCCCAGGCCAAATGGGTGAGGGTCCCGCTGCTCCTCTTTGGTGAAACTGGGCCAGGATAGGGAGAAGTAGACGGAGTTCCCAGGGCAGGAAAGACACAGGCCTAGGTCTGAGACCCCCAGCTCCCTTGGCTGGTCTGGGGGTTCCTCCTCCTTTCCCCAGCCCAGGGCCTCGGGAAGGGCTCTTCTGCCCTCTCGTGGCCAAGTGGCTGCTGCAGGCGTTTCTGCACACCCAGTTAATACCAGTAAACCTCAGCCATCAGACTGGTGCAGAAGGAAGCTAGTTCCAGTTTTTTGTATCAAGGTTTCTTTTTTCTCCTAACGAAAGACGCTGAAAGACGCTTACCTCTCCCCTGGTAAGGACCACACTGCAGGGGTCTATTAGCAGAGGCGGGAGAGGAGAGGAGAGGGGAGAAGGGGGAGGCACCCCTCCCTGGCGTGACGACCTGGGGGTGGGGGTACCAGACGTGGAGAGCCCTGAGCCTTTCTCCGGGATGTGTTCCCGGAAGAAACTGGTGGAAGGGCCGCAGAAGGCTCCTCGCCTCCAGGGGAAGTCACCATGCGGGGCTCGGGGTGTGGAGCAAGGCCGGGCAGTGCCCACGCTCCGCCTCACCTGCCAGCGAGGGCGCAGAGCTGAGCCCGAGGTCCCCGCAGCCCGCAGAGCCC